ATGTAAGTCTAATGTAATTTTATTATCGGCCGCTTGTGGTTTTTTACCACCAACATGTATGATGCTTACGCCAGCTGAATCAAGACTTGTAAGAATTTTAGCCGATGTTTTTAAGACATTACAATAAGACGACAGCCGTTAAGGACGCTCAGGGTAAGAGGGAAGGGATAAATGTCAAAGGAAGAGAAGGATCTCTTTGTTTAAACAATCAAAATAAAATTATAAAAACCTTTTTGCGAAACTCCTTCTCATATCCTAAGAAAAAGAGCAATAGTGTAAGTTCATATGGGGGAGATTTTACCATTCATACTCTGAATGGAAATCTCAGAATTTCCTGCCGAAAAGTTTCTTTTAATTGCATCAGGGTCAGTTAGTACAAAATTTTAAAATTTCCAGGAATTCCACTGTTCTTTCTCATTCATTATGATTTTATCTGGCTGTTTTTTACTACTAGTACGTTGCGATAAAATAGTAAATCAATTCTGAAGTTTCTATCCCTGAATAAGTATAATATTGGTTTGTTTTTTCTTTTTGTTTATCGTTCTCCCTTTATTGAGTTGACGGTTTAAATGTTCGACTATGATTAATTCCGACAAATAAATAAAGTTTAAAAAAAGAACAAAAAGAATCCGATAAAACTTCGATAAAACTACTTTTCTGAGTCAGAAACCTTAGTTTAGAACTGCATGGGAAGTTTCGATCACCGTTTCTTCATTTTATAAACATGATCGGAATTTTCAGTAATTCTTCTTTTAGTCCAAAAGGTAAATTTAGAGTTCCTAGAGAGAAAAGAGCATCAGAAACAGGAAAAAAAGCAGAAAAGGTGACAACCGTACTCCTAAGATTTAGATCATCAGTCTCTCACTTTCTGATTCCAGTAGTCCACTGTTTACCTAAATTCAGTTTCTAGATTTGCGCTCTGTACCGAAAGGTAGCTTAAGAGAAGTTTCACCTTTAAATCAGCATCACTTAAAGGTGAAACACCCACTACACTACAAACCTTTTTTAGCTGTAATTTACTCGCTTGAAAAAAACGAAATTGAACCCCACTCTCTGTCACATACTGAGTACTGTACAACTGAGAAGAATGAGTTAACAAGTCTGTCGGACGCTTTTAATGCACGACTTCTAACAATTAAACGCATTTTCATTTAAATTTCGTTCGATAACAAAACGTTGACGTATTCGTTGAACAATATCATAAGCTGTTTGATTGCCACGTGGTACGGGACAATTTTCAATATCCCAAAAGAATGTAATCGTATTGGATACTATGGATTGTGATTTCTGTTGAGGCGGAGGTTGTTCGTTTACTGACATGAGGGGTGGACTTGGATGACGAAATGAGCATCGTAGATTTTCACATTTATCGGTCCAGTTTTCACATTGGTGGACGGATTCATCAACTGATACTGTTGCACTTTCGATAACTTCAGCAGGTAGACTATCAACGTGAAATACATCACCAGCTCGTGGATCGAGATCTGAATCAAGTGAAAAATATGTATTAAGGTATTTTAACGACGATGTAAGAAAGATGAGCACCATGTAAAAAGAAAGGCTCGCGGTTCTTTCAGGAACATAAGCTACCTACAATCTATCTCACATATTTAACTTCCGAGCGGCCTATTATACGATATCGTTTTCTGCTCAAATCTGTGTCTCCTTTTTTTTCCTAAAAACAAGCCCCCTTTTCATACACATTTTACGATTTTAGTTAAATATATCAAAATGCATATAGAAGTGTCGTCCATAAAATTAAATAGCTTTTAGCTATCTGCAACCTTTCATTTGCAAGCTTTTAAGATTCTACTGAAATTTGAGAAATTCCGCGTTTCATTTAAATTCCTGTGGCCGCAGAACAGGTGAAGATTTCCTCTCTGCAAAAGTCATCCTTTCTTACAAGACTCGAAGTTTTCTGTTTTGCCTGGAAGATCAAAGGTTTACAAAGGGTCTAATATTGTCCTCAAAAAAGTGCTGCTTTTGTGACTGCTTTAGGTGGACAGCATTTCTGACTCTATGGCGGGCTTGCGTATACGCGGATCTCCTGCTGCGGAATCTTTTTTTACAATCTTTTGCTATGATATGATGACTTCGAACGGGATATCTTCTCTTCGCAGTTGTTAAATCTTCCCACATTAAGGTTGAAACCTCTTCGGAAATTCAGAAAAAGGTGTTTGCAATGTAACGACGACAAATCTAGTTTTCTTGAAAATCCAAGGAAACAGTCGGTTAATTTTGTAAACGTTCGTTCACTGATAAATAGAATTGAAAAAAAATTTCAGTTCTCTCCGATTTTCCGCTAGCAGTGTGATACATAATGTAGTTAAAAGAGAGAATTGAGTATCGTTCTCCGATTATTCGGGATTTTATCCACATTCTTTCCAGTTGGACAATAAGGGACAATAGCATAAAACTCACATTCATCTTTTGGAGAAAGCTTGCCTTGTTCATCACTACTGTTGCTATCACCTTCTTCATCAGTCGATCGAGCGTCTGAAGTCTGTTCGAATCCAGTTGTCATTAGTGGGAACTGTTTTTGTGCTGCTCTCGATGTCACATTCTAAAATAAAGTAAAAGTGAAAAGGTGGTGCTTTACTTTTTCTTTCCTTAGGAAACTTACATCACTTACAGTACGGATAGACGGTACAATTTTTGATAGTGGGCGATTGTAATGCCTAAAAATCAGACAGAGTTATATCAATAATTAGTAGTCGAAAGTAGACGTTAATCGTATACTCACGCATTGCAGCAGAGCATTTGATCTCTAAATTTAAAGTTGGTTATATTCAACCCCATACCACAATCCGTGCATTTAAAACAACGTCTGTGCCAATGCTATAAAATACAGTATGGCTCAGAAATTTTACTCAGAATATAGCAAAGACAAACAACTTACCTTCTGATTGTAAACTAATTCTTCAGCTGAATAAACTGTATCACCGCATTCAACACATTTATTTTGTCTCAACTTTAATAAGACCATTCTTTCGAAGATACAGACTATAGACAAAAAGCTTCCCTTCACTTGAGATGTTCTGAGATGTACAGCAGTAAAGGTAATGGTCGTTCAGGATATAAGCAACAGAATTATAAAACTTGAATTTCGATATTCAACAACCAGACGCAAAAGAATTCGACAGCATAAACTCTGTTTTATATCATACAATTTCTGAATGAGAAAAAAACATACACCTCTTTCTTCTACAGATGAATGGATTCTTCGCGATTGCTTAATTCCATCAAGAACGAAAAAAAAAAGATTTTAAATTTTTTTTAAAGGAGCATGTTGAGAAACGAAAAATAACGCCGATGTTGAAAAATGAGAATTGCTTTGCACGACTCGTTTCAATAAAAGTCAAGATATTTTTTGTGCTAACAACAAAAAGAAAACAACTCGTTGTGCAATAATTTACGTCTTCAGTTGAATGTAACACGAAGCTGTTAAACGGAATCAATAGCGTTGTTCAGACGCTGACGCTGATTATAAATATGTGTGGTTTTTGAAAAATACCAAAAGGTACCTATCCACCTCTTGTTCCTACGCAGAAAAGTTAAGTAAGGATTGCAATTCTTCTGTTGTTATAACCAAACAAAGTTATAAATTAACAATGTATTTACTATGAATCTAGAACTCAAACGTGAAAACTTATTTTTGATCCTAGCAAGTTTTCCTTGCATCTATATTCAGTGCAGTGAATTTCACATTTCTCTCTAGCTTCAAAACTGGTGTTTTTAAGTCCGTCACACTAATATCTCTGTGTGTACGTCCGTCCGTCACACGTACGTTTTTCAGTGCTAGGTAGCGCCATCTATCACTCTGGATATGTATTGGCCACAACGTTTGTCTATTAGATATAACTGACCAATAGTAGATGGTTGAACGGACACACCTAAAGTCGTACGAAGAAACATTCACTAATATTTTACTGGCACACATATGAAAGGTCTCCTGCATCTAGTCAATATTCACAACAAAAGCGTTTTATTTATTAAGACTAGAAGACACAACAATATATCTCCTTAGATGTGTCTACCAAATTCCGAAGCTGAACAGCATGTTACACAAATTTTAACTCCATAGTGGTTTTCTAGGCAACATTATTTACATCTTATTCCACGTCGTTATCCATGGTTTGTCCATATCAGAAATATCAACTTTTGATACGGAGCTTTTTTGAAAACTGAACTGAAGTAAACTAAAATAAAGCAGCACAAATAATTCCTGAATATTATAGCTAAGTTGCGCAAAGCGAATATGGCATATTCGTTATTAGACAAGAACAGTAAAAAGCAATTATAGACACAAAAACAGTCAAAACCATACAAGTGAATTTATTTTTGTAAGATTTACATTTTTCCAATAAAGGGGCTTTCGATGAATAACATTTCCGCTGAGAAGGAGGATGTAAGTACCCTGGTCGACTTTCTTGCGAGGGCTTTCTTGCCCAAGATCTTGCGCAAGAAATGTCACAAGATCTTGCTTTCTTGGTGCAAGAAGTCTCTTTGATTTATGGTGACTATTCTTGCTCTTATTTCTTGCTTTC